GATTCCGATGTTAACGATGTTCAGCGATTTCATCTCCGATTGTACGATTATGATTTTCTGGTATTTTGATAGACTTGCTAAAAATCTCCGGACTCGCAAGGGCAGTCGACGTGGTAACACTGCAAACCGCTTAGAACTTTTGGTTCTGGTTCATTTGCATCACGTGCCATAGAGTGAGTATCTCTANGATTCCGATGTTAACGATGTTCAGCGATTTCATCTCCGATTGTACGATTATGATTTTCTGGTATTTTGATAGACTTGCTAAAAATCTCCGGACTCGCAAGGGCAGTCGACGTGGTAACACTGCAAACCGCTTAGAACTTTTGGTTCTGGTTCATTTGCATCACGTGCCATAGAGTGAGTATCTCTAGACCTTGAGGACTACTATAACACCGAGATACGTAACGGGAGCTCTGTGTAACTTCAGGGCTTCGATCGGAGCAGAATTTCACGTTGGTGGTGTCTCATCGCTTCAGCAAATTCTGAGGATCTTGGAGTTTGTGATCATTCATTCGAGTCGATAGTTGAAGGAAGCTCGAGGACGCTCGAAGGGAATCAAGATGGTCTACACTAACATCGCGACTTCGACGATCAAGGCTGCTTACCCCGACGTCAAGTACTTGTTCCGTTTAAAGCTTTCGTTGATATCGTCGAAAAATTGGTAGCTGGAATGGTGTTAAATAATTTGTCGAACTTCAGGAAGGACAAACATGGCCAGGCATCGTCGGTGTACCAACCGCAAACGGCGCAGCCGGCGAAAAACGAGAAGTATGGCTCCTGGGGTCCGATCTACAAGAACAAGCAGAACTTCGTCGACATGCATCTCTGCTAACACGCACTATCACAGCTAATGGTTCCAGCCGCGTCTTCAGGCTCTAAAATAATCGCACCTCCGGAAATCGTGATCATTCCGCCGGAATTTCGACAAAAATGGCGGCCGGAACGGAATCTAACTCGACGCAGCATCGCACATTTGATAATGTATGAATAAACGTCTACACCACCATAATTAGATCGTGTTAACCCTGCCTCGGTAATGATAAGGGAATATTTATAATTAGATTGCTAGAGTTATGGAGATCTATACGATAAGTGGTCCTCCTGTGAGTCACAGTTACGCGAGAGTAAAGTTTTCTCCTTTGTTTTTCATTTTTTTCTTTTTTTTTTAATTAATGCTGTTCTTGATGGCAGTGTTTGAGCAAGAGACGATGTTAGACAGAGGACGAACGAGATGTCAGAAAAAAGTGCATCGTGCTCTAGTTCCGGCGGATACGACGAAGACAAAGAACTCGGAAAAAATAGCCCGTTCCCTAAAGCCGACTGGGTGTCGGTTAAGATGACGCGTTGGAATGGAGCAGCCCTACCAATTTCCACATCATCGAACACCATACCTACTCCAAATTCAAATTCCACAAACATATCTTGTATGTTTTCCCGTTATACGCTTATTTTCCTTTCGCCGTTTTCGGAACCGTAACACGGTCTTTGGGCGTTTAAGTAGATACTTCCGACTTGGTCAGACACGAGTGTCACGTATGCGCTGGTCATTGCTGACCCACACACAGTACAAATAATTAACGCTGACACTGCCGGTCGAATGAGTTGAAATTATGCAAATGCTCATGGCAAATGATTGAGCAAAGTCTAAATATATTCTTGCAACACATGTTCGGTGATACATTTTAGTCAAATTCGACGCTTCATACATTTTCAGTTAAAATTCTCGATCGAATGTTCGAATGTAGTCGAACAAATTTATATTTCCTAAAAAGATATTGCAAAATTGACTGTGGTTTAATACTATAAATAGATACGACAAATGATGGCAGAATGGAATGGGCTAGAATGCAAAGTTTCGTTCAACGAAATCAATATTTCAAATTCCTGAATGAGAAATGACAAATCTTTTTTGAAATGATCAACGTAGACACAGTCGCAGAACGCACAGAAGATTTCACGTACCAGCGTCAAAGTTCCAACAATAAACATTATTGTCAATGCATAAATATTTTCTATCATAAGAGATTACAGAAATTTCACTCCATGTCTTACTGAATTCTAAAAAAAAAAAGAAAAAAACATCGACGATCACGTCGAACGAGGAAAACACACGAAATGTGTCCAGAAATAGATGTTTGAAAATTGGCACTTCGTTCAAGGCTGGTGGTTTCGGAAAAGCATCGATTCATCGAAAGCCCATGGTTTCCACCCCGTTCCGGTGAAAATAGTAGGGGGGAAAGCCCCGGGGCGTTTGGTGGGGAAACGTCGGGAGGAAAAAGAAGGCTCCTGGACAAACGGGGAGGACGAGTGCAACGTGGTGCAGTCGTTGAAAGCGCGTCGACTGGCTCGGTCTTCCTCTGAATGGAGGGTCGGGGGAGGAACAGTGCCTCTCGAAGCCGGACGATCCGCGTATCTGCCCACCCTCTCTAATTTATTTATTTATCCGCGAAGTACCGGTGTGACGGTGCCATCGACCGCCGGGGGGAAAATTATTTTTTAACTTCGCGACGGAGTTGTGCGTCGGGGACGGTACACAGGACGGAACACAAGACGGAGACAACAGGAGAAAGAAGGAAAAGTGTCGTTGCTCCGTTGGAACGCGAGATACCCGAGAGAGAGTCGACGTCCCGACGCTGCTATTTCGAGGCTGAAACACAACCGGGTAAGCTTTTGTCCGATAGTCTCGCAGCCGGCTGCTCTCTTTTCGCCGGCGAATTTCAAGTGCATGACTCGTGACCTTTTACTCTGCTACCCTCCTGTCTGGGAAAACGGCTCCTTTTTTTCGGGATTCCGAACTGTCCCCATGGACCCTCGATGTGACGTTTTAAATTTGGCCTTGGAGAACTCGCCTTTCGTTCACCAGGAAATTTTTTCAATCGTCATCACATTTTTCTACCGTTCTCTCGTTTGATCGGTATTTGGTCAATGAGAAATCGTTCGCGCGAAGAACTCATTCATTTTGTAAATTAAGCATCGCTTCGTTGTCCAGACTAAATCGAGCTAGGAAGGAAATGGTCGCTTCGAATAATATAAAATAAAACTAAAGAAGCGAGTAAATTATAATAAAATAAACGAATATATATATATATATATATATATATATATATATAT